CTGGCAAATCATATGGATCTATGTTGTTTATGGTGATTAGTTTGTACAATACCACCGTTGCAGGCAAAGGCAAATCAGCACGGTCTTCACAAGATGGTGCTCCATCCAAAAAAATGTGACCCGGCGTGAAGGAAACTTCACGTTCTTTATATATAAAATTATATAAATATTGCATAGGTATATAATATAAAATTGCATAGGTTTTATCCATCATCCATCTCTCTGTGGCAACAAGGGCTGAGGCAACAATTATTTTCATTATTGATGAATCTGTTGACAATTTTCTATATTAAACAAATTAATGAGTTGGTCAACAAGGTCAGACAATGCTACAAACAAACAAATTCTAAAAGCTGAAGGCAACGTCTTTAATTTTTTTGTTTCATCCGACTAACAGCCAACTAAATTTACTATCACACGAGACAAAGAAAAACAGGAAATCCTGACAGCTGTGCCACGAGAACAAGGAACTGTTTGGCATCTTTCTTTTGAAAGTAATTTATTTGACTGTCAGTATAGTTGCAGATTCGGTATCTGTTCATTTAATAATTACTTTTTCAACTAATCATTTTGACTCTAGCTGTGTTTTTTTGGGGGGCTGAATCAGAAACGAGAATCTCCCGAGACTGTTTTCTATAATTACTGACTGTCTTTTTTTAACTTATGAAGGAATTGGGCAACATGCACAAAATACATGTGTATTGTTATGTTAATTATAGAGGCATCTTTCCATGACTGTTCCTTTGTGTTTCAGTTGTGCTTGAGACAATCCTGCAACTGTCATCTAAGTCTGTAATTTTGTCTTAATAGACTGGGTATACTGTTAATTTCCTGTGCATCGTGTGTACAAAATAAGACACACATATCGCTATTGTATATGACTGCATTATATAGTTAGCAGTCCAGTCCCTGAAGGGCAATAGTATATCTAATCAAGTATTTGAAGTGAGCTACATGGCATGTTAGTAAGAGTTATCATGTTTCATGAATGACAACATGACTGCATAAGTACGCGCAGAACACTTATAGTAAGATGTTTATAATGCAGCCTTGGCTTAGTGAGCTACTATTACAATATGCTGGATATACAGACATTGAGTCAGTGACAGGACAATCATGTTGCTGCTACACACTTCTTTATATGTTCCCTGATAATCCTATAATGGCTTCAGCAAGCATTCAACATGCTGGAGCTGCAGAGAAACAAACATGTCCTGCTGCCTGCGACTTCCCACAATGTTATCAAGTGAAAAGGGGAAATGGAAACAATGGCATTAAACAACTATTTGGGCAAAATCTTTTTCCTCTATCTTTCTCAACGCGAACTGTGCTTACATTGTGTTGTATCCCTTTGAGCCATTGATAGTGGCGGCCCTCCATTTGTGCAAGTCATGCTGATTTTCCCTGGTCACAGTCCAGGCGTGTGTTTGCCAAGGCAACTAGGGCAGTAGGTGAGGAAGTCAAGTTCTGAGTAGAGTTTGACTCAGTGGCCAGCTGCGTGGATCTACCGCGAAGCCTGACCGCTCGCCGAAATAATGTGCTTTCTGAACATTTCTGAACGTTTAATGTCTACCGAGAAGCAGCCAGGGGAAAAAACGCAACTAGACAGCAGGGGCTGCCTAAAAATAACAGCGGACGGAGATCAGAGCTCTATGCCAGCACAGAAAACCAAGTACCTGAAGCGAGCAAAGGCCATAGGCATCAATCCAGTGCCTGTTCTTTCACTGCTAGATCCTGTAAATGTCAAGCGCTGTGATAACAGAACATGATAAGGAAGAGTGACAAATATAAACAGTGACTACCCTGTGAGTGAGGTTAGTTTAGTGTTCAGGAGTATAGTTTTCTATGTGCTAATCCTAATCCTTTTACGGTCTGACTTTGAAATCTCTTTCCCCTGACCTTCTATACTAACCATGTGCAAAGGACAAAACCACGGCAATCTTCAAATACCCCAGGGTGTCTATAACTAGGGTTGCAACTAATGACTGCTTTAAGTGTCAATTAGTCTGTTGATTATTTTCTTAATTAGTCAATTAGTTGTTCGGTCTATAAAATGTCAGAGAATGGTGTAAAAGAAAGTAAATCTCAATTTCCCAAAGCCCGAGATGTCCTCAAATGCCTTGTTTTGTTTGCAGCCCAAAGATATTTAGTTGGCTGTCACAGAGGAGAAAAGAAACAAGAAATCAATCAAAGAATTGTGATTTTTGTGCCTTAAAAAAATACTCAAACTCATACTCAAATCAATTATCAAATTAGTTGGTGATTAATTTCAGAGTTGACAACTAATCTGCAGCACTCATTAGGGGCAGGGGGAAAAAAAAAATCAATTCAGCATAGTATCGCAATATTTTTTGGGGCAACTTTCTATTGCTACATGGAAGCCAAGCCTACTGAGATAATAAAAATGAACTGCTTTTTTAGTTCACAAGAAACATTTTGCTGCAAGGAAAATGATTGAAGCGAGATGAAAAGACTGAAAACATTTTTCGATAAAACAGATGTTGACAAAGTTTTCCTCCGGGGACCCAATTTGCAGTGAAAAAATATGTATAAACGGCAATATATGTTATCGCAATACTCGGCATAAAGCAAAAAGTTTCAATCACAATGATTTTGTATTGTGATTTAAGTATTGTGACAATGACGTATCGTGGGGCCTCTGGTGATTCCCAGCCCTTGCGCTTGTCTGTTAAGTTTTATATTTTTAATATCTTTGACCGAATGAAACATTCATGTGACAAAATGAATAAAACACTGACAAAGTGAGCATCTACCTCAGAGTGTGAGGAAGGGGCGGAAGCTGATAGCAGCTCATCTCCTCCTGCCTCAGTTTCAGACTCTACGGTCATTGTGACCAGATCTGTTTAAAAGCAGAGTCGCAGGTCGCACGCAACCCAACAGCCGAGTGAGGGAGGGATGACGCTGCTTTTGGTTGACGCAGGCTGCTTTCTGAAAACAGCACATCGCTGTTAGAAAAGGGTATCAGTGAGAAATGACCATCAAGGTGTTAGGGCAACTTCTAAAGGTGCACTTGCTGCTCATCACCTCAGGAGGAACAGGCCTGATAACCAGACCCTTCAGACATCTTCTTAGAAAACACGCCTCAGCAAAACAGAAGCTGCCCACAGTTTCCTCTCCCCCGCACTGCCAACCTTGAGACATGTAGGTCGTCCTTTCAACATAGGAACACTAAGCAGCTGTGTGTCTGAACTGAATTTATCATGGCAGCAAAACACTTTGTGTGCCACCTCTCTGCAGCGAGGTCAGGGGTTGCAGTCTGCTACAGAGCAGTGTCCCTGAAGATGATTCAGCAGCACTGTTAGATTTCACGGTCATGATCACCCTGAACGGCTACAGCTCCCTCACACACATCCTGTTATTTTACGATAATAAGAATGAAAGCACGTATGTGTCATGTTATAAGCACGGTTTTGATGTGTGTGAACAGGATGTGTCTCTTGTTTCTGTGTGTGCATTTAGCAGCAGCACGTGTCTATTAGAGCTGCATGATGCTGTGAACATGTGCGCTGTTAGACGGTCTCATGCTTCTGCATACTGCAAGTATTTACTCAAATTTATCAATTAGTCAGTCGACATAATTAATCGGCAGGTGCTTTGATAATTAAAAAAAATAATTCAAATAGTTTTTTTTTTACAGAAAATAATGCTTAAGATGTTCCTGTTTATCAGAAGTTTTTTTGTATTTTATTTGACTGAAGAAACATTTTTTGATTTTATGTGCTATTGTTGGGACAAAAAGATGTCAACTACAGGTTTTGGGAACTGTGATGGGCTTTTTCTTCACAATTATCTGACATTTAAAAGGACCGACAATTAACTGATAATAATACAAATAATCTGCTGTTGCAGCCCAACAGCCCTGCAATAAATCATATAATGTTTTAATGTTCAGATTTCATTAAAAAAATGTTTTTAGAGAGGTTCTGATTCAACTTACGGGTAATTTTGGAGGCTGCACTTTGTGTTGCTGGATAACTACATTGCTTTCTACCAAGAAGTGTTTCAAATATTTTGCCCACACCATCATTTATCATCAGGGTAGACTAAATATTAAAAACACCGCTCAAACAAAAGCCTCTAAAATGAGTTGAATCAACACCTCTTTACAAAAGTTTCAACAAAATCTGAACATTGAGGGATTTACTGTTTTATCAGACTGTATTACTTTCAGCTGAAAATGAAATTTGACACAGCGTGCGTGTTACAATAGTAATACATCCTGAATATGCATTCATTAATACCATTTTCTGACATGTGGAGAAATCACTGCTGAATATGTGCAAATATTGATTTAGAGAACTTATAAAACAATGACTCTGCTTATTAAGGAACTCCTCTTTGTTTTATGACCTGCTTTCATTGGACTGAAACTGTGAGGCTGCTGCAGACAATCCACCAGAATTATAGATTATTAATTGAGTTATGTGTTTGAATAAATGAACTGGGGTGGGTGTGCTTTGTACAACTGGCTTCACCATTATCGTCTCTTCTCATGTCACAGCCATGTGTGATGTGTTTGTGGTGCAACTTTACCATGACAGAAGAATCTTGACAATTTCAGCAGCCATGGTGTATCAATGAAAGAGACGCTTTGTGCTGAGGGAATAATCCACCTTTCTGACTCAGGGCATTAGCCTCGCTTTAACCTGAAGTTTTAAAGGACTCAGCAGCCTCTTACAGTTAAAGTCAGGTCTAATTAACAAACAGAGATCTTGAAAGTAATGGTGCCTTGATGGCAGGATGGCAGGAAGCTCCAGAGTTTGACTCCAGTCCTATCTGTCACTGTCAGATACCTGCACAACTTACTTTGCATTCACTCCTCTGGAGCCAGAGAACAGCTGGTTTTGCATGACAGGTGTAATTCAGCAGAGCAGCAGGGCTCTGGCTCCTGAGGGACACACACTGCAAACCACAAGCATGAGGAGGGTACCTTGCATTCAGAGAGTTGGCTGTGTGTTTCCATCTGCGTCAATACTTACTTTTGTCCTTCCATTTATCGTGTAGTTTCCCAGTTTGCCGTTACAATGTCTGATCAGGTCGTCCATGCGTGTCATTAGGAAGCGAATCTTCTCGCAGCCGGGCTCTCTCCCCTCTATCCATGTGATTTTGTCCCCTCGGATGTCTTTAGTGGAGTCGCCTTTTTGACTCACCAGCTGTCCGTCTGTGAACTTGCCAGTTTTGTGTAGGGCTTTGACATTTTCCAGAATGCCCAGCCCGATTTCTGCTCCTAAAAAGTTGTCCACCACACAGATGCCGTGCTTGTTCATACACGGCACTATGTACTCCATGGCAAGTTTCTGAGGGGATGAGCTAGTTTGTCCGTTAGGTGTGGCGGGGTTGTTGGACCCGTCCTCCCCGGTGCTCTCACAGTCCCCAGGTGCTTCTATGTTTGTGGTGTGTGGTAACGACGCACTGTCCGCCAGCTCGGGGTTTATCTTTTCCCGGTCTTTCTCCGCTGTCGTGTCGTCCCCCGGCTGCTCGGGCTTCTGCTTAGGAAGCTGCGCCCTGTCCGTCTCCTTACAAATGAGCTTGTGTTTCTTCCAGTGCTGTTTCTGGTGCTCCTTGCTGCAGTAGAAGGAGCTCCGGCACCTACCACACTTGAGGAGGTTCTCCATTTTCCCACAAAGTTCGCAGTACTGTCGGTCTCGGTCCAAGTCGCTCTGCTGCTGCTTCTCCATGTTTACGGCGACAACGGGTGTACTACGCCTTTAATTCCGATCCTTTACACGCGCCCTGCTAACCGACAACTTTGGAAAGGATCCACTGCCTCTGCCACGCTACACCGAGCGAGACGGAAAAGTAATACTCAAAACCGCGCCATTTTATCACACTTATCCCCTCTTCACATTGTGTATCAGTGAAACAACACAGGTACGTGCGCCCTAGACCGAGCATTTCGGGCTGGGTCGAGCTCTTCAGGAGGGATTTCAGCTGCCTAGCTGACTGTCCGAGGGTACTGCATGGCGCCGCTGTGTGTGTGTGCTCAGCCTGTCTGCGGTCCAGCCTGCTCTGACGTCCGCAGACAAGCACCGCCCCCCCAGGCGCTGCCTTCGCGCGCTGTCGGAAAAAGCATGCTGCGTAAAATGGCTCGAAACTGGAGACACGTGGAAGTAGTTAATCTATGTCCTGTCAAAGGGAATATGGAGCATGTCCTTGGCCATGGATGATGAAGTCCGCCTCTGGTCAATCGATAAAAAGTAATACTTGCCATCTTGACTAGATCTCCAGTCGTGCAGCCCCAGTGATCTCTTTAATCATTCTCAAGTACAATGGTTGGGTACGATTTTGGGGTATTAGTACTTTTACTTGAGTAGGCTATTTCAGTTTCATACTGCTTTATAATTTTATAAAATACTATTCACTGCTACTGACAAAACTACTTAGCAGTACAAAATTAATGAATCATCTCCACCTACAAGCTGTTTTACTAAAATGCTACTTGCATAACAATGTCCAATAATATTAAACACTATTCATAATATATAAAACCATTCAGCAGCTGGGAATGGAATATGCACAATAACTACTTTTATTTTTGATACTAAAGAACATTTGGCCGATAATACGTGTGCACTTAAGTGAACTTTTGAAGGCAGCACTTTCACTTTTAATGAAGTGCATTTACAATTTGGTATTGCTTTTTTTTTTTAACATAAGTAAAGGATCTAACTTACTGAACCATCCCGCATCTGCATATAGGATATTAGAATTAAAATGAATTATTTACTTAACTTTCACATTACGAAACATGCTTTCTTTCTGTCTCTGCCACCTTATCCAGGGTCTGTGTGGAGCTAGAGGCTCAACTTTAATATACGCAGAGATGGCGAAGTAAAGGAAGCACTTTTATTTACATGTGATCCGGTGATCCATAAATACGTGCAGGAAGCATGTGACATGACATGTGATAAACATTTTCTTCCTGCTGTGGCACAAAATAGCTCCCTGCAGCTTGTTTTATACAAAAACGCATCACAACAACAGTTGTTTATTCAATTACAGAGGCATTGGGGAAACCCAGCAGGTCGATAACGCAAATGTAAGACCATGAAGGGAGCACATGAAGGCATCATCAGTCAACGTCAACGTCAGTGTGTTTGCCCTCATTCCTGGCTTGCATGTGTGAAATTCCTTTCACACAACAAAAGAATATTTTGCAGAAAGATGTTGCCGGTTTTATGATACACTGATCAATAAGTTTGTGGCCTGTGATGAAGCTCATAGTTGCAGTTGAGATGTACTTAAATGTACTATCGGAATGCATATTGTTGCAATTTATTTTATTTTATTCTTTTTTTATATGTATAAAGCACAAATTTAGGTTCAGCTGCATATGTAAATACAAACGCCGATGGGGCCTATTGCTCATCAACTACGGGAAACGGGTGTTTGAATGACAGGTAGGTGTGCCGTGCAGAGGCAAAGCGCAATTTGGCACCAGTTGTGTGGCACGTACGCAGTCTGCAGGAGTCCCTGGAGGAGGGGTTGTAAGAGAGAAGCGGGGTAATCTGATCAAGAAAGGTTGGATAAAACATACTTCACTTGCAACAAATGACAGAAGTCAACCCTGGATGGCAGTCTGGAGATGTCTGGATGCTCAATCTGGGTTTTTTTTTAACTTAACAGAAAGTATTTTGGCTGCAAGGGCGGGCCTGTATCACTCCCTATTGAATACATTTTACACTGGAACATGCTTAAACCTAGTAGATGTAGTATCTGCATCAACCAGCATGGCATGATACTGAATGTGTAATTACAAAAAAAATAAATAAAATAAAAGTACAAAAATGTAATTATCTATATTCCGGGGCAAGCTCCTTTTTTATAATAAACAAGAAATAAATTGTAGGCGCCCTGTAGTTTAAACTATCTGCAACTTTTTTTAGTAATTGTAAAATAAAAACCAGCAAATATGGTTTTACTAAGGTGGAAAAAATGCTGTAATAAATACAAATGCCACATTCTGCCATGTTACTACATCTCCCATGATGCACTTCGCATTTCCTGTGACGCTTGTAAATAGTGCGAAAGCCCCGCGAATAGTGACGACCACACGAATGCCTGTTATTAAAAACAAGTAAACACGATTTATTTTTGCATTGTAGGATAATTAGACTTTATTCAGCGTGTGTGTCATTGTTCAGAGATGGAAACCTTCATATGTGAGCGGAGTATTTTTGTCTTTTTGTCCTTAATTAGCCCTGACAGATGTAACTGTTAGTGCCTCGGTACAGTTGGTCGGCAGCACGGACCTCAGTAGCTAAAACAGTTTAAATGCAACATTAATTGAGCTTAGGATAGTTACATTTAATAAAAGAAGACATTGTAACAGTGGAGGTATGCATAGGCGAGAAGGTAAGTCCAGCGTTTGAGACTTAACTAAGAATAACAACGTTTTTAAGCTAGTTTAGTTGTTGGTTGTTGTTAGCAGCATGGGCTAATAACCCAGCTGTGTGACGTGTATAAACTAACGTTAGGTAGCTAACACTAACATGCAGCATGCTGTTATTACAGTAATGTTTGCCAAGATCACTGTGTAGTTTATACATTTGTTCATAAAGGTGGTGGTCCTAGCAATGGCAGCAGCAACACAAGGGGCTGGTGTTTTTTTCCTACTTAGCTGCATGTATTTCAGCACAAATGGTGCTGTCATTTTATTTAGATAGGGTCATAGATTTTGATAGTTGTGATTTGTGTCCTCTGTGACACTAGAGGATAAATTATATAAAAAAAGTGTTGACCAAAGATTGTCAGGTGAGGTGTCACGATTTGTCTGTAATACCTGGATATTAATGTTTAGCTAACGGCTGGCAATACAACTGAAATTCCTGTTTGGGTCACAGAACTTGATGGGTGACAGACTTTTGGCGTAACACCTGTTACCACCTGAAACCCAAAGTTATGTCTTCAAGTAGCTTGATATGTCTGACAAGCAGACCATGACCCAAGGATAGTCACTTAAATTTTATAGAAAACTAATACCCACACACAGCCGTTTCTCTTATCTTCCCTCTGGGAAACGTCTGCAGAGCATCCGCGCTTAGACCTTCCATTTGGACATAGCTTTTACCTCCAGGCGGTCAGACCATTGAATGGTAGCACTTAAGGACTGTAGATGCTGTAGCTCATTCATGTTCTATTATATGCTGCTGTTGTTTTTATTATATGCTGCTATCAGGCTGAGAGAGAGACAGGGCATAGTACATTTCATTGCATTTAATGTACACTGTATTTTTTAATGTATATGTCAATGAATTTGAACTTTAACTAAACCTGAACCAAACCCTTAGCCCTAACTCTGGTGGGGAAACAAGAACACATACCCGAAAAGTCGTTTTTCAGCTGGGACCAAAAAACGACATCAGTGGTCGTGTCACATTCTACAGGTTGGAAAGAGAGGATGGAGAAGACAACAGTGAAGAAGTCAAGTGTGAAATTGTCCGAAAAAAGAGCACGCAGTGGTCTCATTTAGTTGGTCTCATTGTTGGTCTGTGCAAACAAATATCCATAAAAACAGAACAAAAGTTTGCACGTAGTCAGTGTAATCTGCAGTTGTTATTTTTTTACGACTGTTAACTTGGATTGTGCATTGTACAACCCCCTTTGTTGATGACACCTCCTTGATAACAGTACCGTGCAAAGCTGGTCGCTAAATAGCACCAAGGCTCCACAGATCCTGAACAAAATTCATTCATGAACCAAAGCTAATTTAATGGAGAAGGGGTATAAAAAAATCAACAGATGTAAGAAGGTGGAACCAGCCATTTTTTATTTAAAACTGCCCAGAACAACTGATCCATTACCAAAATTGTTGCAGAGAATTTTTTTTGTTGATCAGCTAATTGTTTCAGTTCTAGTTCACACCTTAAAGAGGCTCTCCAGTGAATTTTTGAGTCAGTGACAGATTAAAAACAGAATCGTCAAACTTAATCCAGCAGAGGTCAAAGTATCCTGAATTTTAGTTCCATAAACAGGTCAAGCCCAAGAAAAATATTAGATCCTTCAGTTCCCACAACGTAACTCTTTAGTGTCATTTACCAGTCGCCCGTGCCGAGTACATGCCCATGTGTTTCCAGCTCCATATCTATACGTTGTTACACAGACTTCCCGTTGAATATTTAAGTCCTCAGCCCAAGTCATAATAACTCTGTTGACATCAGGGTAAACAACTAAACTGATCTTCATTTGAAAATCAGTAGCATGCCTCTGTAAAATAACAAGGCCAGTTTAGATAAAATGACAGCAGTTGGAGGCGTTTATTACTGAAGACAAACTGCAGTATCACCTGACTCTTTCTGCTTCATGTCAGGTGAAGGATGTCCCCGGAAAAATGCTGATGCAGCGCAGGATCATGATGTTAGTGCCAACCCATCCTCACCTGTCATTGCTGCTTTCAAAGGTAACTGCATCCTCAGCATTTTGATTGCATTTTCCACACACGTGTTTACTGTGTTTCATTTGTGCTAAGATATCAAACTTACCTTTTTTTCTATCTTTTAAGTTTTCCAACAGGAGCTTGACACAAAACACGACAAATATGAGCGTCTTGTTAAGATCAGTCGAGATGTCACCATCGAAAGCAAGAGGACCATTTTTCTTTTACATCGAGTGACCAGGTATGTACTGTTGTAAGAAGACATGTTAACTGGTACAGTTTAGTGTGGAAAACATTTTCTCACTGTATTCAGATTAAATGGGAGAATGCAACTCATTTGATGAGCCACATGTTATTACAGTGGATTTAGGTTTAGTTCTGTTTTTCTGGGAACAGAACTGTGTTTTTAAGGAAGCTGTTTCCAGTTAGTAACTTCTGTTTGAGAGATGTTCTAACTTTTACTTTGTGTGTTTTCTCTGGACGGGAAGTGTACCCAATGCAGAGGATATTCTGAATGAAGCAGACATGAAACTGGACGCAGTCAGGCAGAAAATTGGTCAAATTGCTGAAGAGCTCAGAGGAGAGGACATCTTTCAGTTTCACA